GTCCAAGCAGACAGAAATGGACCATTTATGTACAAAGAGATGCAGATTGGTACCTAGATTTATTTTCCAAAACAGGAAGGAAATCTGGGAACTTGATTGCCGAGAAGCAAATCGAACTAACAGTATGTACAAAGGAGACCCCAACCTTGCCTGGGCACTGTTTAACTAACACCTAAATTCAATCGATTGGAGAACATTATTGTTTTATTTCGACCGGTGACGAGTTTGCTGGGATAGCTACAGGATCACTTCTCATCCTTGCCGGTGTAAAAGTGGCGAAATGCGCATGAGAAGTCCTTGAATTCACAGCCCTCGTCGCATAACTTCCGGTAACTGCAGAAACTAGTGATCAGTCATGCAGCGAAAGAAGAGGTGGAATGTAAGGTTTTCTGTAACTTTTCTTGTTCTTGTTGATAATAATCTTACATCTCAAGTGCTTCAGAACCCATGGGGCATTTGAAGCCAACTCCAGATGCAGAGGCCATGGCCAGATCCAAATCTTTAGCCTGTAGAGGAAGCAAATGATGAAGTGTGAGCTCTGTTTAACATGATGATCATGCGCAGTTAGTTTAAATTATTTCGTTCTTCCATCGCTAAGGGAAACATGTACGACACATGTTGACGTGATTACAAGATTTCAGACAAATGTTGTTTTACCAATCAATCCACTTATATTCGACAGTCAGAATATTTTGCATCCCTTGAATCATACCATTAATTTGGAGGTGAAGCCACCATCATAATTCCTCGACGATGGCACGCCCGTCATTACTCCAGGAACTGGGTTATATGTGTCGCTGTTGAAAATAAGCCCCAGAAGGAGCAAACAAAGTTATAAACTTCAGATGATCCAACTTACAAGGCGCTTAAGGTGAGGATTTTCAGTTAAAAAAAGCTTAAGACGAGAATGTAATTTTCTATTGGCTCATTACACATTTACACCTGGATAAAAATTATCGTCACCACCACAATCTAATGTTTGCAGAAGCAAAGCTCGTGCTACTGCATTCCAAACCACAATAAGATAAGTGAGGAGACGATACCTACTCCAGCAACGGGCGCTAGAGCAATTGAATATATCTGTGAGAGTGCTTGCTTTGATCCCAAGATTCTGACCAAGAGCAAAGGCCTCAGAGACTCCAAGCATGCTGATAGCCATGGCCATATTGTTACAGATCTTTGCAGCCTTACAAGTACATACCAAAAGTGAGTCTGAATCATCTGTGCATGAAAATTTATATAACGAAGTCTCAGTGAAGAGCTGGAGTAAATCAAAATTACCGAGCCATTTCCAGCCCCGCCGCAGTAGATCAGCTTTTTGCCCATTGCGAGAAGTAACGGCTTTGCTGCTATGTATGTTTCTTCTAAACCACCCACCTATATATCATTCCTTTGCACCAAAGTAAGACACAAGCCCTTGTATGTAATACTAGTTTTTCCCCAACAAAGTCTCTGTATTTTCTGGCGGTAGCAATAAGTTCTGCGAAGCAAGGAATGGTACCATGAAAGTCAGTGTCCCAGCTTCTGCGGCAGGAACACCTCCAGAGACAGGAGCATCCAGCATCATCGGTTTTTCGGCGTAGCCTGAAGATACAGAAGAGGCACACATTCATAACTCAAATGTGCAGATACATTTCTAGTATTAATTGTTGCCGGGGACAGATAAAAATAAAGTGAAGACTGTTGATTGTTTCATTTTCCAGGTGTACACTGAAGTATTCAGATTTTCAATTGCTAATTTCAAATGGTGGTTCTGTATGATGGGCAGATCACAACCTTTCTTTTCATTTAAACTGCATCTTGACATGTCCATAGATATCTTTCTTGATGTCTGAGGATCAACTGTAGATGAATCTATGTATAACCACGGTCCAAGGCGCCCCCCATTACCGAGCAAGCCGTTCCCTCTACTGTATACATCTAAGACCTGAAAAGAGCCTTGTAGCACTAAGCATTTGATTTGGTAACAGAGTTCGGTATAACTCAAGTTACAGCTAGTGCTTGTGAATCACCAGCTTCTCATAAAGAAAACTAAACCAACTTACATGTGCAGAGGAAGGTAGCATGGTGATTATGACATCGCTCGACTTAGACAATTCAAGCGGCGACTGCTTCGTGGGAATTCCATCGTCGGAGAACTTCTTCATGGCATCCTCATTTCTGAACATTATAGATTCAGTGTTTGTTGGATGGTCTAACAACAGCTTTAACACTACCACAGAACTGCGTGTTAGATTAAGCTATGTGCCTTTTTATGTGTATAATTAGTAAGCAAACCAATTTTGAACAGTGCATAAATGGACGAACATTTGAACCACAATAATATTGGAAGCTGGCAAGAAGGGCTTACATATCATGAACTGACACTCTGTATCCAGCCCTCAGCAGGTTCCTTGCCATGTGGGAGCCCATATTCCCAAGCCCTATGAATCCAACACTCTGCAAAGCATGTCAACACCTCATAATCATAAACAAAGGAAGCAATATACACTGTCTGTGCCTGTCCTAAATCAGAAGGATGCATTGACCAAAGATCAAAGCTCCTTCCAGATTTATTTATTTCAACTAAGCTCTGCTCGACTCAAGTTTCAGGGGATGCAAGCAGAGAGGAAGTGGTTAAGCACTCGGATGTGGACACTGCAGGCAAGAACGCGAGATGAATATAACACAAGAGGAAAGAAACCTCCATGTGGGGTGGGGGTGGAACGGCAGGAGCAGAGGAGAAGCCCCGGGCGCGGAGGCGGCTCTCCCAGCCCCATCTCTGCCGCAGCTTGGAACCAAGTCTCCTCCATCCAACACCTCCCATGCCCGCTTCTGCTCCCAGGTGCGCTGAATCAGGAGTCAGGACTGCTCGCTGCAGGAAACAGTGAGCGGATAACATCAGTCAGGTTCGATGGATCCGCGCGTCGTCAGAAAGGGGAGTGATGATCCAAGCGAGGCGCGGCACCGGGTTCACTCACTCTGTCAGCCCGGGATTCGGCGAACGACGCGGCGGAAGCGCGGGTCACTCACCCAATCTCGTGATTGGGACGGAAGAAGAGGAAGAAGACGCGGGAGCTTGCCTTCACCGGTGGGTGGGGGAGACGGGCGGAGAGAGGAGGGGACAAGCAGAAGCTGTACAAGGTGGGAAGGGGTTCGTTCCGGCGTGGCGTGGCGTGGCGTGGCGTGCATATCGCTTCGCCGGCGCCGAGTCATCGGTCATCACGCTCTCTCACACTAGGCTCGCACGCCAAGAGAGATCACGTTTAGCATGTACTCGTGCGTGTATGTGTAGCTATGCAGACGAACAGTAAAAAAAACATTTTCTTTATAAAACAAACTGATTTATTCGTGCATGTATGTGTCAAAGGCATGTTTGACAATTTTCATGTAAAAACGGAGCAGTTGTGCTTCGCTGGTAAAACGAAAAATCAGTGGTTGAAAGTGCCAAAATTTTAGCGCTAAACCATTTTTTTATCAGAGGTCAAATTATTTGGACCCGAAACATTTCCGAATAACATTTAGACATGAAGATGCACATGTCTAAACTTTTTGGGACAACCTATTTGTCTGATAGCTCCTCCTTCCGTAAAGAAATATAAAAGTGTTTAAATCACTAATGAATACTCAATACTTGTTGCTGGGAACCAAAAAATAAACTACCCCATCGGATTTTTATTGGATTGTTGGATCTTCATCCAACGGCCACCATCACCCTCACGTTATTCTTCTTTCAACCAACACCTGCCTAATTGCCTACTTCTCCTGCAGCCGAGGAATTACCATGCTCACCACGCCACGCTCGTCCTACCGTGAATCATTGCTCATGCCATCCC